CCCTTTACCTCCACCACCCCTACAAAGCTACACAAACTCATGTTAGCTTCATTTGTAAAACTAAATATGATTTGATGTGGAGCCTTGCTTGACTTTGCTTTTTGCTGCTTTTTAAATGACTTGAACCTGTTTTCTTGTCAGGAAAAAGTGATATATTAAAAATACCTAAAATCAGAAATAGAAAATGTACATAGTGCCATTTACTCCAGGGTAAACTCATATTGGGTGCATATTGTGTCCCCCCCCCCATAACTGGTGCAAATCATTATACTGCATGTCACATGAAGAAAAAGTTTCCCTTGTCACCCATTAAAATACTGCAGGTTTTTAGAGGTCTTCACAGATTGAGGCAGAAAGGAAATCAGTGCTGGTGCTGGTGGGAAACAGTGTAGCAAGGGGTGTGCAAGGGGCAGGACAACTGGAGAATGGGATAGCTGCGCTTTCTGGGAGCTGAAAACTGAATCTGGGAGGCTGTGAGAATTTCGAGGCATAAGAGAGCAGGGGATTTTACCAGCTAAAAGGAGCCTGTGAGAAGCCACCAGATGCCATCCTGCTGGAGACACACAGCAGTCTGATTAGGGATGGTGGGGGTCAGTAGCTGAGCAGAGGCTGGTAGGACCTGCCTGTGTACCCAGATTCTGTCATCCAGGCTGCAGGGCATAGGATTGTTTGTTAGCAGTGTAGAGCCTAGAAGTAAAAGATACCGAGTGACACAAACAAGTCCCTGCTTTATTCCCTCCATAAGAAAACATTACTTGAAATCCAAATTGTTTTTTAAATCTTCATATGTAAGCCAAATTAAAAAAGTCTCTATGAACATCTTTCAAAATTGTCATCACCTCTGAAGACTTTTAAGCATCATCTGGAGTTTTTTAGTGACACGCCTTATGATATACAGCATGAAAGAGCTCCAGTGATGGCAGATTCCTCCCAGAGTGGCTGAGGAAGAAGCTGTGGAAGCCTCTTGTCTCCAAGGGGAAGGAATGTGTTTGGCCCTATTAGATGCCTGCCGGAGGCTCTGTGGAGGAAAGCCACTTGTTTTTAATCACTAGTGATTTCTTTAAATAGCTCCTTGGCGTCACCCAGTGGGGAAGTGCTAGAATATGGCTTTGGGGCCTGTAGTCTTGAAGGGCAGATCCAGGGGTAGTGTCTTCAGGTGCTGCCATTCCAGTTATCCTTCCCATGTAGGAATATAACAGATATCCCGAGAATGTCTTTCTTTTCTGTGGAGTGAAGCAGCGCACTCTCTTGAGGGAAGTTCAGTCTCTGCTCATGGTGGACCAACTCACTCATGTTGGATAAATGAAATGGTTCTACCCCTGACCTCCTTAGGAACAAGCAAAAACTCCTTCCATATTTTGAATATCCCTGGTCTTACAGTGCCCTAATTGGTTTAGTATTTATCCATGCAGTTCTTAGTTCAAATTAGCATCAGTGTAGGTGAAGGAAAAATAACTTCGGCTTTCTTGAAAATTCAGCAATCACTTACAACCATCTAAAATTAATGTATAAGTCAGTATCACTGGAATGCATGTTCATAAGACTGTCTCGCAGACTTAAAAGCCTAGTTGCATGGTAGAAAGAGCTGGCGTTTGCGGGCAGAGCTGAACTTAAATCCCCTATCTGCCACTTTCTGTGTGACAGATAAATCACTCTCATTCCCTAAGCCTGTGTGTACAGTAGAGTTGGAAATCCTTCTGCTTCTGGAGATTAGAAGGGCAATGCTTGCATGAGGCAGTCCCTGTGGGGCAGTGAGCACCGGGACTGTGCTGCTGTTGGAATTCCACTTTGGCTCTGCATTTTACCTATTTACCTTGAGCAAATCACTTATACTCCAAGATTGGCATTCTTCAGCCAAAGATCCTCCTTCTGTCCCAGAGTTATACAAATCCCATGACACAGCTATTTGAAAGTACCTGATGCTTTATAGCTTAACAAATGATAGATTTTTCCCCCCTAAAAGTACTGACCCAATTCAAACACTTAGAAGCAGTTAGAAAGTTAAGCTCATGTTCATCCCTTGAGCATAACTTCCTTCTCTTTCTGTCTTAAATACATGATTGCATTACTGTCTCTGTCATCCAAGTTAACCCAAAACATAAGGACCTTTGGCAGCAACAAAGAGCAAGTTCATCTTAGAGTTGTCAGAGCTTATTCCCACCCCTCCTCCCAAGTGTACGGGTCCTTATTTATGCACCCATGTCATGACCTCTGCTCCGGCCATAGCAGCACTCACATCTTTGGTCCCATCCACCTGCCACCCACACTGACCAGCCTGCTCAAAGTTTTAGGCCCAGCTCAGTGGCGTATTATCACCTGACCTTCTCCCCGAGCAAGAAACGACTGCTTCCAGATTTATTCTTCTGAAGCACATCTTTCTCTTGGAAGAGAGAAAGGGAATTAATATGCATTGAGTCTGCATATATCTTGGCACATTCAACCTTCTCATACATTTCTCAGGCCAGGATCACTTCCTCCACCTTGAGGATAAGGAGAGTAGGGCCTATGTATTTTTTGATTAAACAAACATTTATTGAACATCAGTCATCCGGGAATACTGGGAACCCATCAGCAAACAGACCTGGGCCTTCTTCTCTGGATCCAGCAGCATCTTACATAGGATGAAGGCAGGAGGCAACAATGAAATCCATCATAAACTGTTTTCATTCAAGCAATGGCCATGAACCATCCACATGGCTGACACCGACAAAGGATCTACAAACTGTGGTACAGGGTTCCAGGATAAATCCTGAGGGGATTTGACTGACCTTGTTACATTTCTTGTTAGATAGGTCTTGCTATATCTTGGTCTTAACCATCCAGCAGGGAAGTATAAAAATGAAGTAAGTATAAAAAGTAAAGCTATATTAATATGCTGAGCTCAAGTCAACAACTTCTGACGTTGCCAGTCCTACAGATAGCCCACTACTATTATGGACTACTGGACTATATTGGAATATTTTGCTGAATTCACGCACCTACAATATTTAAATGACAATGGAATACCCTCCTCTGACAAAACTAAACAAAAAAAGGGGATATAAATGAAGGACCATTTTGTATCTGTATATTCAAAAGTTAGGATAGATATACAGCTACTTTCTCTTAATTCAATAAATAGAAAGAGTTGTTCTAATAGTGTTTGTGGACAGGACATCATGTCTACATCTTGTACTATGAATAACGACTAAGAAGACAACAATATGCAATGTATTAATTATTGAAACTGGGCTAGTAATTGGTTTTGAAACTGTCTCATTGCTATTTGTTTCTCAATAAAATTATTTAAAAAAATAAACTGTTCAAATGCTTAAGCATCTCAGGGATTATGGAAAAAAAAAAGATCCTACACAGAGGACATTTCCAGTAAGAACTAAAGGCTAAGGAGATCCTAGAAGTAGGAAATGTGCAGCAAAGGTAGAGTTGAAATGTGGGTGAGCTTGGTTCCCCATGTCTCCCAGCCTCCTGTGAGTACTTGCGCCAGTGTCACTAGATCTTGCTTGTGGCCCTCATCTCTTTTTTCCCCAGTAGAATGTGGATCCTTGAGAACAACAGCCTCATCTCCCAGGCGTCTAGTGCATGGTACAGGCAATGTGTATAAATAAAGGGTCATTTAATTTTTCAATATGTATATTTGTATGTCATTCCCCTATCATAGTATAGGGAGAAAACAGTACCTATAGATTTTGCACTATGCGTTACTTCTTTTTTTTTTTTTTAATTTTATTTATGTATGTTTGTGTGGCCAGCTCAGCCCACCAGGGGGCGGGGCTGGCTGGCATGTGGTGCTGGGGGATTGAACCGTGGTCCCTGTGCTTTGCTAAGCTTGTTCTAAGCAGGTGCTTTAGACCACTGAGCCATCTCACCAGCCCCGCGTTACTTCTTTAGCAGACACATTCATGTCATTTTCAGACACAAAGGCTTTCTGATCACCTGAGCACTTTCATGTCAAGTGCTTCTGACTCAGATATTTCCTATTTTGTAGTTGGGGTGACCCAGGTCAGCATGCAAGAGAAATAGCAGTTGCAGTATGTCCTGCTACATGCAGAGCTTGGAAGCAACTTATTGATCTAATTAAAATGACAGTGTTGTCCTCCCTAAATGCTGAGTGACCTGGGGCTCATTTTCAGCCTGTTGCCCATACTGCTCTTAGAGGTGAAAGAGGAGTCACTGCCCTGTGTCCAGCATGGGATGGGGAACACAAGGATGAAAGCACATGGCATGAAATAACAAGGGTTTCTTCTTCTTGAAACTCAGCCTATGAAGTCCAGCAAACATGGCCAGAGCCTATGCATGCTCAACAGGTACAAACCAGAATGTTCTGTGTGAAAATACAGTCATAAAAAATACGAATGGAGGGAGTTGCACCTCCCTTAGGGTGGAGTGGAGGGTCAGACAGGTGTCTCAACAGGTGGACGACGTCATCTTGGGTGAAAGCCCAGGTGGCTGCCTATCAGACACTTTGCTATATTCTCCATTTCCACAAACGCTGTCTTCTTTGCTTCTTTTTGTATACATACTTGTTATTCATTTACCCACCTTTAATTGAGACTTAGCTAAAGAGAAGTTAGTCCCTTTTCTGAGAACAGCAGCAGTCCAAGTCCCAGGATCACATCAGCTGGCAAATGGTGGTGGGCTCTGCTCAGGAAACACTGGGGGGAGTGGTGGGCAAGGGGCAGCCCGCAGAGCACTCGCCTGAAGCAGACAGGCGTTGGTCAACATCACCACTAGGGGCTCCAGATTTTGCCTTTTTTTTTTTTTTTGTAAAAACAAGCAAGTTGGAGTTTTGGCAAGATAGTCAAGTTTTTAAAGCAGTGTGTTAATAAAAAGAAAAATCTGCAAACAACATAGAACACATCCTCATGCTGCGGCTTGTTCATGGGCCACACTTGCACCCTTTTGTTTAAAGACTCTGAAGTTCCTGAGAGTATTTTTAGAATCCTTCATCAAGCCATTGCTCTGCTCATAGCTTCCCTCTAACTGTCCTCCTTGCCTTCCAGAAAGAGATGACGAGCAGAATGTGTCACTGACACTTCATCTCATCCTGCAGAAGAGAGAAAAACTTCCTGCAGTCCTGAGTGGACAGTGGGTGGACTTCCGGGCTGAAGTGGCCTCCCTACTTCCTCGGGCGACAGAGCTGGAGGCAATCGGGGCTCCTGAGAGACCTTCCCCGCTCACGTCATGTGCTCTTATCCTCAGAGTGCTGCTAGCCTAGCCCTGCGGACCAAGCGGATCACCCCTGCAGAAGGACCACCCCCGGCCCCCACCCTGGGCTTGCCTGGGAGGCGCCTCAGCCCTTCTGTGTGCATCACAGTTCTGCCTGTGGCCTGCCCCCTGAGCTTTACTGAAATCCAGGTTTTGAGACTAAGATGCATATTTGTACCTTTCTATTCCTCTGTCTTGTTAGCTGGCCAGCTTTTCTGTCATTTGTTTTCTAAGTACAGAGTGAATTTTGGAACTTTGGATGCACAGCTAGCTTTTCTGTGACAAGCCTTTTTTTTCAGATCAGGGAAGCCTCCTGCTCTGATTCTGTGGTTTAATATTGCACAGGGCCATGGCACTGTGAGAGGTCTGAAACCAGATCTGGCAACACTGTATGACTTCCCTAAGAAACTGTTTCAGTGGGGACCATGACATGGGCTGGCTTGTCTCTGCCTCAGTCGGTTATCCCATTCTAACTACAGGGAAGAGCCTGTTAGCAGCAAGCTAACAAATTACCAGTTTGTCCAGATCAGAATGTATTTTTTTCATAATAGCCATCATCCCTTGACTCTCCTGTCCATGTTCCTTCCTATTTTCCAGAAGAGAGCAGTAAAAGAAAGTTACAAATGACTAAGCCCACTATTAGGAGCTGTGAGCCAGACCAGTGCGGCGTTTGTTCTTTATTAATGGGCAGGAAGTAATGGATGTCTCTAAATAATATTTCAGTGATAAAACAAAAGTACAGTTATTATTTGGTTTGAGTAGATTAAATCCTCAGTCCCTGACTTAACTTCCCCTTCCGATCACCCCTCGTCTGTCACATTATCTTGGGGTGCACAATTAATTTCTGCCCCTGTGATTGTGCTGTGGAGGCAGCAGTGGAGCCAGAGCTGATGGCCCTGTACCATCCACTCCACTTCTTCTCTTCTAGTAGATAGAAAAAAGCACTCTGCTCTATATTCTGACTTTTGAAACATGAGTATGGTTAATGAAATGCTGTGTTCTCTGATTCATTCATGAAATTTTCTTCCTGACTAGCCCAACCTGTGATTAGGGGGGAATAATATTTCCAATGACACGTGAATTTACCAAGGTATCAGTTGGTGGAGAAAAGCAGATAAGAAATCATTAGTGCATTTTAGTGTAATAATAGTTAAAAGATAACTAAACAACTCTGATTTAGCTTTATTTTACATAACAGGTTCAAGGCATTCGTGGCTGCCATGGAAGCCTAGTAATCAGGAATCCTTCGTGCAAACTAAAAATGAGTTCCTTTTTTGGACACAGTAGTGTGCTGTGTTGACCTAACCCTTCAGATCAACCCTTCCTTTGCATCTCCTACAAGTTGGCCCATCAAATCCAGACATAGCTACCTCTCTCCATGTGCTCTGATCAACAGTAAACATTTTCCCTCACAACTTTGAGAAGTCAAGATAGGCAAAGATTTATTTTTCAGCATCACTGCTGAATATCTGATTGTCCTAAGGAGCCAGAGAAACAAGAGCCCCTCATTTTTGACCTATGCAATGATATAATACCACGTGGGAAGGCAAGATGGTAGTAACAGAGAAATGACAGTGTGGAGCTCATCTTCACAGAGATTCTCTGTAGTTTTGTACCCTGGAGAAACACAGATTTTTGCATTTAAAAAGTTAAATATACTTCTTGCATTTCAGTGATGCTTAACCAAGTGGGAGGTTAGACTCTGAAGACACTTGTCATTAATTTTTAAAGTCATTTTCTATTAATGTTGTGTATGAAATTTCCATGCAACTTAAAAATTCAAATATATTTAAACTTTAGAATAATTTCTTCTTGGTTATATTGGTAAATGTACTAATCAACTGGCCGAATGTTCAAGTTCTTTAATTACATGTTGTTCCTATTACAGCAGAGCTTTGTTTGGCAAATTCTGTTGGAAATCTTGGAGGTGATTTCTAACTCTCTGGCCTCACTTCATCTTCCGTGCATCTCTTACTGCAAACGGAGAGCCTGAGCTCCTCGCTGGCATCTCTGCTTCTTTTCCATACCTTCACCCCTCCACACTTCCTTTTTCTGCTTTTTTTCAGAAATTTCAATATTGAAAGAATGCCCTTAAGCACACTGATTAACATTTTGCCCCATTTTCTTTTATACTATAAATACATATTCATATTGCAGACCCATTTGCAAAGAAGCTGTAGTCATCAAGAAATTTTAATATACTTCATTATATGCCTTCTTGTTAGTAAGAGCATTGTCCAATCCATTTCCAATGTCATTATTGACCTCTAAGAAACAGAGCAAAAATATGGCATACTTGATATACAATCCATGGGCAAAATTCCCCAGCTGTCTCAAAAATATTCCTTTCAGTCTGTTTCATTTAAATTTAGGATCTAGTCAGGAATCACACACTGAATTAACTTGCCATTGTCTTTAGTTTTCTTTAATGGATTGGCAGTTCCCTTTAGTGTGTGTGCTTATGTAGTGATGTATGTTCATGGAGGGCTTTGGTGTGCGTGTGCATGTGTGTGTATGAAGTGGTATGTCTTTCATGACTCTCACATTAAAGAATTCAGGCTGATTATTTTGTAGACTGTCCCACACTTGGGAATTTTTGTGTGTTTTGTTTTTCTGATGGTTTCTCATTATATATTTAGGCTAAACTTCTTTGGCAACAGTATGACATTTGTTTCCTTCCTGTCATATCAGAAAATACACCATATCTAACTCTCACTTTGTGATATTAAGATTGATCAGTGTGCTCAGGTGTCCTCTCCCTGATCCAATCATTATCTGTAATTTATTGTTAAGCTCTGAAAATCTGTACATACATTTTAGATACTGTATATGTATGAATCCACTTCTTAGTATTATCAGAAGCCCATGATGAAGATTAGACCTGTTGTAGCAGTGACCCAAGTCTTGCCTTCCCATTAATGAAAGAAAAGGTTTGCAGGGAGTCTCCTGGAGGATGAGGACTTACGTGGCCAAATAGTACTGATTCTCCCACAGTGACTTCCCCCTCAGATCCATGGTTGAATGACAGAGAAAGTGTGTTCTTGTTGAAGTCGTTCTTATTAAGGGAAATCTTACGCCCAATAATGGATTGCAGTCCTCCAAGGACCACATCACTTAATTATATATGAAGCATTTATGTGACATTAAAACTAGTGCCTGCCTCGTAAGCACAGAGTCCCAAGTTCCATCCCCAGTACCGCATGCTGTGCTGAACCCAGAACCCTGGGCATGCTGTGCTGGCTCCGAAACCGGGTGTGGTGCTGCATGCCTGTAATCCCAGCTCTGGGAGGCTGAGACAGGAGGATCACTAGGAGTCTGAGCCACATAGTGAGACCTTGTACTGAAAGAATAAGTAGGTAAATTTAAAAAAATCTTTGTAGGGAATGACAAATGAGTTGGGGAGAGGATTAGGGATAACATGCCAAAAACAGCTTCCTCAATGGGAGAAATAATGAAAAATAATAGGCAAAGAAATACTCCGCCTGAGTTGTTTTCCACGGCTTAGATTGTTAATATTCTCTTCTCAAGTGTTTCCTCATTCATAAGAGCCCAGAGCCACAGAGCCAGAATAAATGCAAGAAACTCTGGCAGATCTCTTAATCCCTTCCTTTTACCTCCCAGACCCCACGAGTAATACTTCGGGTGTGAACTCGCTCTCTTTTCACCTGCTTCAGGCACAGAAATGTTCCCGCAGTACTGGCAGAAACTGCTGAAGCATTGCAGTGTCTGCATCCCAGTCAACCTGAGCTGAACACATCATTTCTAGTGTCCTACCTTGGAAAGATCCAGAGACCGCATGGGATGAGAGAACATACACACATAGGAGCTTTTTTGCACAGCCATGAAGCAGTTAAAGGCCAGTGGCCCTTGAGCCTCTCCTCCCTTAGAGCTTTCCCCACAGCCCAAGCTCTGGGAAGTCTCGCTCTCCTTGTCCACCCTTTCTGTAGCCCAACTAGGAAGCTTCCCAAGCTGTCCCAGTGTCACATATTGGATGTCATCCACTGTGAGCATGGTCAGAAATTGTCCCCTCCCTTCTTCAAACCCAGTTATGTCTTTGCAGAATACTAACTTGCTCTTTAGGGCACCTCCAGATTTTTTTCTATTTTAAATTCCACACAAAGTTCTGAACCATTTTATGCCCAACTACTCTGGCTTACTTTCCTGGCTATTGTTGCTTCCTACCTTCAGCATACCTCCTCGGATCAGACTATTTTAGTGGTAGTGCTTGTTCTTAACCATCTCTTTGAGAAAACATAGGAATTTAAATAGAGGTCCTCCCATAGATCTTTCTGTGGTGATCCGTGCCAGTCATCACTCTGGCATTGGTGGAAGCCCATTCCTTTCTGTGGCCTCTTCCCTGCTGTCCCTTTCTTACCCCATGGGCATCAAACTGTGAGAAAAAGAAACATTGTGGGAAAAATATGCCTGTGTCTTCCAGAAATGGGGACAAAGTCACTAAAAGGAAACAGAGGCATCATTATGATAACCCTGTTGTCATTCTTGCTCTGATCATTTCGCTCTTTGAAGAAACCGATGATTCTCTCCTAGAATTAGCCAAACAAAGTATGTTTTGGAAATCACGATCATGTTCCTGCTTTAAAACATACATCAACAAAAACAGGCTGTTTCCCTCTGGATAGGTTTTAATTCCAAGAAAGAATTTTCACTGACTAGATATGAATTTATATAACATAGAGGGGAGTCCATTTCTAATGAAACAAGCTATTTTACTAGCCGCTAATGTTCAGATTTTCAAAGCTTTTCTGTGTCATTTTTACATGTGTTTGAAAAAAATGTTGACAATATTTGTAGTTCCATGTGTGATTGAGGATTCAAATATAAAGACTAACACAATTAAATCAATTAGTAAAGTAAGATGAACTAAAAGATATTTATGAAATCAGTTCTTTGTGAGCTTAGAATTCAAATGTCACAAATAAAAGACATGTAACTATCATTTGGTCTGTTTTTTAATGCTTGATTTATTTCTTTATGAGGTTCTTCATCTTCCAATGGTCTTGCAATGGGTAAATAAAAGAAAAACTTAATTCTATCAGAAAATTCAAAATTTATTTTAAAACACGCATGCACATATTTGCATTTTAGCTGTTCTTTCATCCTGTTACAGAATATTCCATGTGGCTTCTCAACAGATTAATGTTGACATGATTTTTCTTTTGTAGTAAGATTCAATATTAATTTCATAATAATCTGTTTTACAGGTGAAATAAAACTAGATCATAGGGGGCCGGGGAGATGGCTCAGTGGAATAAGCGCTTCCCTAGCAAACACAAGGGTCTGAGTTCAATCCTGGGTTCCGCAAAAAAAAAAAAAAAACAAAACTCGATCATAGGTAGTTTGTTCCTTGTGTCAGATTTCTGAACTGCAAAGTAAAATTACATATTTGTTTCTATTTATAGTTATTATATAGTAATTATGAATGATTCCAATGCTAGTTAACATTACTAATAGCAATAATAGAATACTGTGTCTGATAAAACCTGTTTCATTAAATAAAGTCTGGTGATGAGGTGGTTTTAGACACAGCGAGGGCTGCAGCTTCTAGAACCTCATCGAGAACGCAAGACTTTCCTGTCCTCCTCAGCTGCACTGCCTGAAATGTCCATCACTGTGTGACAAAGAGACCAACTAGACTGCATTTCACAAACAGAAACGTTTAGTTGTGCCCACATGGTGGTGTACCAGACAGAGGTATTTTAACTAGACATGTTGTACCGTATAAAAAACTGGATAATGTAACAATAGAAATAAAGAAATTTGGCTTCTTTGACAAAATCTGATTCAGTTATACCAAGCTTGTGTTCTCTGGTGGCAGACACTGGCTGAGAAGGGGCTGACCCGCTGAGGTGGTCCCTGTTCTCTTCAGTGCGAGGGTTCTCATCCTTCCACTGGCCTCCCAGCTGTTGCCCATTTATTTGCTTACACTAGATGCTTTGTTCATTCGCATTACTTCACCTACCTCGGAAGCACTTCTAGTTGCGGCCACTGTTATACCATACCTGAGGAAGCCACAGTATTCATTTTCAAATGTATCTCCACACACATTGAATGTCTGCTCTCATCTTAATTTTTCTAGTAGCCAACACTGTATTAATGATGATGAAGGAAAAAGTCTTTTTTTCCCCATAATTTTATTGAGAATCAAATAGCAATGAGACAGTTTCAAACCAAATTGGTAGGACAGTTTCAATAATTAACACATTGCATACATTCTTCCTAGTGGTTAATTGCTGTACAAGATGCGGACATGATATCCTATTTACAAACACCATTAGAACAAACACCTCTATTCATTAAAAGAATGTAACTATATATCTATCCTAACCACTTTGAAGACACAGATACAAAATGGACATTCATCTGTATCTTTTTTTGTTAAGTTCCGTTATTTGAATATTATAGGTGTGTAAACTCAGCAAAATATTCTAAAAGAGTCCAGTAGTCCATAATAGTATTAGGTCTTCCGCTTCACTGGCAATGTCAGAAATTGTTGACCTGAGTCCCCTACAGCTCAACATAACAGCATGGCTTTACTTCTTATATTTCGTTTTTATACTTTTCCGCTGGATGGTTAAGACCAAGGTAAAGCAGGACCTATGCAACAAGAGTTGGAGCTTTTGGGTCTGATAAGGTCAGTGAAATCCCCTCAGGATTTATGCTGAATCCTGTACCTCAGATTGTAGAACCTTTGTCAGTGTCAGCCATGTGGATGAGTCACGGCCATTGCTTGGCCAATGTGCTCTCTGTGAAAGCCTGAGAGAATGTTTTCTCTTCATGTAACTCTCTACGTCATGATGTAGGCACACTCTACATCATCTCCCTGGCCCCCGTGGAAAAAATCTTAAAAGACAATCCAAACCAGGTAGCTCCAATTCCTTTACACAAAAATTAATATTCCCAGAAGAAACTCATTTCTACCACGTGTGGTGGTGCACACCTATTATCCCAGCACTTGGGAGGTTGAGGCAGAAGGATTAACACAGGTTTGAACCAGCCTATGCTACATAATGAATTCAGGCTGGGCTGAACTACATAGTGAAAATAAATATTTATTTATTAATAAATATTTCTATTGATTAACAGAAAACAAAATTAAAATCATCATTAAAGCTATCTAATCTTTAAATTATCCTACGTTTTTAACCTTCAGCCCTTTCAGGTAAACTTATTTACCACGACTGAAATGACAAAAGTCATTGAAAATGGCAATTGTAGCATCATTTATAATAATCATAAAGTTTATCTTATTTCACTGCTAAATAGATTTTGGCAAAGCATATTATTTGAACTAAAACTCATTGTTGTAATGGAGTACTCATCATGTAATTCAGTTTTCATGAAAATAGCCAAGCAAGAATTTTAATAGCTTAAAACTAAATGAGGAAGTCAAAGTCAATCAAATTAAACTATGATTTTGTTTGTAACTATTACTGTACACCAAGGGAAAGGATATCATGTGATTGAGACAAGCCCTCACCTATTATCAAATTGGCAAAGGATAATCATCTAAGCCAGCAATAGTTAATCTTTCAGAGCTTTGAATGATACAGCCTGCTGCAGCACATGTGCCAGAGATTTGCCATCATTGGTCTAAGCTTTTTTGAGAAATTTACAAAGCACAAAGGACTAGCCAAATAGCTCAGCGGATTAAAGTGCCTGTAAGCCGGTGCAGGTGCCGGGGGTTCGATCTCAGGGCCTGCCTTGCTGGCACCACCCCCAGGGCCCACTGAGACAGAAATTGAGACTGGGCTTGGTGGCCCACAACGTGTAATCCCAGCTCCTGGGAGGCTGTAAACAGGTGGATCACTATGAGTCCAAGCTAGTAGTGAGTCCCTGAACACCCTGTAGACCCTTCCCCAAAAATCCAAAAAAAAAAAAAAACAAATTTACAAAGCACAGACAAAAATAGGCATGAGCACAGAGGAAAATCGCTGTCAACATGATGTTTCCTGATAACTCTTCCCCATGACTAGGGGTATATCTCTGTGATGTATAGATTTGACATTGCTAAAAGTGCATGCTGGCTGCTATTCAAAAAGCCATGAAAATTTAGGAAATTTGTAGTCAGATTTATTTTGTCTAGAAGTTAATTCCTTGGCTTAGGGCTGTTTTAATCAGAAGTTT